CATCAAACATTTATACCAAGAAGTAGTAAAAAAAATTTTTTTTTCTATTTATTCTTTAAATTAGATAAAACATTTCATTATTACTTTCGCCTGGAAGGTCCAACTCTTTTGGACGATGTATTTTTAAGATCTTATTTGGCTTTTTTGCTAGTGGCTTAACTGCTTCAATCCTTGAGCTCCACCTTGTAACAGAAAGTTTATTTAATAATAGGTCTGTCTCCTCCTTAAGATCTTTTTAACAAACTGGGCTGCAGCTGAACAGATTGTATAGCTTTTGAATATTTCCAAAATAGGATTTTGCAGGAGTCGATAATTTAATAGCGTGTACTGCACATAAGTTCAAATTGCGAGCAAAGCAAGAAATAAAAATGCTTGTAGATTGTTCTGCCTAATCAAAGCTTAAACTCCATTGTAAATACCTGCCATATTAGTGTCATTGTCATAGCCTTGCTTAGCTATGACAATGACACTAATATGGCAGGTATTTACAATGTAATTTTGTTTCATGTTCAAAAGAACTTTTACATGCTGTAAAATATGAAGATAACTTTAACTTTTATGTGCAAACAAAAGACCAATAAAAAACGCGTACGTTCAAGTGGAAAATGAAAACCATGTAAAGTAATAATTAATTTAATTGAAAACTAAGTTTAAAAGGATAATGAAATTAATACACATAACTTGCTTAAGCTTTAAATATGTTATCAAATAAAATTTTTATCATTAAAATCATTTTTTTTTATAGCATATGTGATGCCCCATAGACTGTGATGCCTGGGGCAAACTACTTCAATTGCCCCTCCCTTTTGGCAGGTCTGTATTTTTCGCGAAAATTACGAATTTTTAAGAGTTGTTATTATATTTTTTCCTAGCCTTTTTTGATCTCACTGAGTGGAAAAGCTTTTTATATTTAATTTTTTTTTTAATTAGAATCTTTAGACCTTTTTCTTTCATTTCCATTCTTTGGTATTTTATTTTTTCAATAAAATAGTCTGGAAATTAGGCTATTCGATGCCAACATGATGCGGGGCAAAACAAGACATTCTATTTGTATTTTTTTTGCCGATATCTAATATTATGTTTATTTAATTCTTTACATTAAAACAACAACCAAAGCAAATATTAATATTTACATGCTGTAGATTTAAATTTATTATACTGTATTTACTTACTTTTTATTTTGTTAATTGAAATGTTTAATTGTTATCCAATATAGAATTACGTTTTATATTTTGTTAACTTATATTTAAATATAATAAATATTTAATCAAATTGAAGCAAATAATTGCCTGATGTTTATAATTACTATGTTTGTATTTTATAATCTTATTGTATTTTAATGTAATAAAGTAAGTAGTATATAAAATATATAGTGAGTAGATTATAACATATAAACAAATTACAATGAATGTTATGCGTGCTTTAAATACATAAGTTTAATATATGCATGTATAGTTTTATTAGTTCTTGTAATGGATATATATATATATATATATATATATATATATATATATATATATATATATATATATATATATATATATATATATATATATATATATATATATATATATAGATATATATATAGATATATATATATATATATATATATATATATATATATGTATATATATATATATATATATATATATATATATATATATATATATATAAGTGGAGTCAATTTTCTAAATGCACAACCTGGGCTCATTCGGACTGTTGTTCGTTTCAAAATACTGGTCAAGCAATATGTGATTTATGTGACTAGTGACAGTTTGATTATAGCTGTAATATATTATAAAATGTATTTCTTGCTAATCCTCTTAAAGATCTGTTTTTTTTAACTTTATTTATTTAAATTACTAAAAAAAAAAATCTGTCTCATTTTGCCCCGGTATGCGGGGTTAGTTTGTATTATTAAATTAAGTTATAAAGGAAAAAGCACTAAATAATTTAATAATATTTTCATGAATAAGACAACAGCAGGTTTCTAAAGGTATCTCTGAGTATGTGAGTATTTGAGAGAGAAATTTTTTTAAGGCCCAAAAAGACATTAAGAAGTTTTTTTTTAAATAACAAATTTAAATTTAAAATATTAATTAAGTTCATACTTTTTAAGACTACACTTTATTTACAAAAAAATTTTGACGTTAGGGCTACAGAGATTAAAAAACTAACACCGGTCTTTCCTATTAAAACTAACAAAAGTAATTTATACAAATAAAATTTAATTTATTCCAATTCTTAAAATAATAACAATTCTAATGTTTACAAATACAGGCCAAAATCAGTGCAGTTACAAAAATATTTACAATAGAGTAGAATTTACAATAAACCATTTAATATAGAATAACTGTTATTTGATAAAATGGACTATATATATATATATATATATATATATATATATATATATATATATATATATATATATATATATATATATATATATATATATATATATATATATATATATATATATATATATATATATATATATGTATATATATATGTATATATAAATATATGTATTTATATTTATATATATGTTGTTTCTTACTTTGCACATGTTGAATCATAGGAGTACATGTTGAATCATATTGTTTCTTACTGTGCACATGTTGAATCTTATGATTCAACAAGTTCAAAGTAAGAAACAATAAGTTGTGAAGTTCCTCGTGGCTTTATTTTTGGCTTTATTTTTGTCCTCATGGCTTTATTTTTGTATCATAAATCAGAAACTCACTGTTTCTGATTTATGTAAATGATATCTACCTATTTTCAAACATTCTTAATTTTGTAAAAAATAAGCATGTTTGAGGAACATTTTAATTGTAAAAATCGTAATAAGAGAGTTGAAAAAATAAATTTCTCAAAATGTAGGCATTATCCATGAAACAAAACATCTACTAAAAAAAAATTGTTTAAAAAAAAATATATCACTTTTTTATCCATAGCTACATAAGCTGTTGTAATATTTTTTGGGCATTAAAAAATATTTATATTAAACAAAAACAAGCCAGAGTAATGATATGTTATATCACCCCTCTCCTCCTTCCTACTCCCTCTCCTTCTTCTCTCCTCCTTCCTACTAGAGTAAGAAAGTCCTAAAACATCTTAGAATGGAGGACCATTTTTTTTTTAAGGAGACGCAAATGTGATACAAAATACAAAAATATTTCAACATCCCCCCTTCCCCTCAAAATAAAAATTCTTTAATCCATTACTGATATGGAATATAGTTTTGATGAAAATATGAAAATTATAACCTCAATAAATTGTTTTAAAAATATAGTTAAACAGTATTTATTCGAATTAACAGATACAAATACAATACAAATAGAATTACAAATACAATATAAGTACAAATAATTTAAAATAAAATAAAATACCAATACAATAAATATACAAATACAATTTTTGTATTTTCAAATTTAAAAAAAATTAACAACTAAAAAAAAATCTTGTTGTATTTATGACTTTATTTATTTATTTTATTATTACAATTTGTCATATCGTATAATTTATGCATTAACTTGTTTTATTTATTGAGCAAATTTATGTCATAAGAAATTTTTAAAAATGCTTTACGCTTACTATTAGTTAAAAATATTACTTATCTTTTATTTTACAATGACAAGACTTCTATCTATTACTAGCTCCTGTCGTCATAAAATTTCAGTTAAACTTTATTGATAAAACTTGTAAAACAAGAACATTAAATATATATATATATATACATATATATATATATTTATATACATACATATATATATATATATATATATATATATATATATATATATATCATATATATATATATATATATATATATATATATATATATATATATATATATATATATAATACATATATATATATATATATATATATATATATATATATATATATATATATATATATATATATATATATATATATATATATATATATATATATATATATATATATATATATATACATATATATATATATATATATATATATATATATATATATATATATATATATATATATATATATATATATATATATATATATATATATATATATATATATATATTGACCCTAGGTTCTATACTTGCTCCATAAAAAAATTATAAACTCAGTATTTTAACCACGACGTAAGAATTTACCACAACATTTAATAACCACGACATTTAAACTAGGCTTTTTAAAAATATAACATTGCGTTATAAATTGAAAAAATGTAACTTGAAGTTTTTGTTCCGACGAACGAGATGAAAACGTTTAAAACTATTTGGTTCTATAAAAGTCTCATTTTGTCATTACACATTATCTACTATCTATATCTCTTTCAGTTATTAAATTATCAAATATTTCAGTTATTAAGTTATAAAACATTTTAAAAGTATTATTTTAAATGTTATGTTTTCTTATATGAAAACAAAACATTTAAAATAGGCTGTTATTTTTAGACTTTAAAGTTTAAATATATTAAATAAACGGAAAAGAAAAATATTTAAAAATAGATAACTAGTCATTAAATATCATTAATTTTTTTAAACCTTGGGTCTTCTGATTTTTTTTTATTAAAAATATGTTTTATGTATTATATATTATTGTAGATTTCAGGAATCCATTCCGCTATTATACTTAAGGATTCCGGGTTTAAAAATTGGTTGTTCCTCTAAAAAAATTTAATTTTAAAGACCTAAAAGTCTTATTTTTTTAAAACCTAAAAGTCTTAATTTTTTTTCCAAAGGTAGTCCATGAGCCTCAAAAATCTGGAAATAACCTTTTTCTGTCTTTCTAATTTAGAGTACTTTTTTGGGACTTCGCATTGCTAAATTTTGACTCAAGCAAGATTCTTAAACTAAATTATGTAAGTAAGCTAATACTTGTATTACTATGCTTATTTTGCCAAGTAATCAGCGTATATACGCAATTTTAATTAACTAATAAACTTTTTTAACTTATTAAAGGTTTTTAAAAAACGCAAGGTAAGTAAACTATTTATGTAAAATGTACAAAAACTTTGTTTTCTATATACAAAAAATATACAAATAATTACAAAAACTATAAACACAGAATTTACAAATATTATAACAGTTATAAACATACAGAGTTTTGAGACAACGTAAAACAATTTAAAAATACTAGGTTTTACAAAAAAATATAAAGGTATTTACTTACATGAGTGCACTTAAAATTTAAAGAAACCGTTTTGAAGATAAGTTATTGAAATCAGATTTAAAACAAACAAATAAGTGTGAATAATTTTTCAATAAATTTTTAAAGATAATAAATTGAAAAAATAAAAAAATTGAAAAATGTTTATAATCACGAACTTAAAAAAGAAATTGCATGAGGTTTTCTAAATAAAGTATCAAAAACCCATAGCAGAAACCCGTAGCAGAAACCCGTAGCAGAAACCCGTAGCAGAAATCATTTTTAATAAACTAGAATAAAAACCTTCTAAGCGCTAGTATATAGTATTAACACACAATTTTAGTTATAAAAGTATATTTTTATATTTTATAGTTTGTTTTAGAAATTTTTAATGAACAAAGGTTACATTAATTTTTGAACGCGAAAGTATGCTAGTATAAATCATGAAAAAACATGCAGCTTAGGACTGTGATGTTGGGAATGACGGTAAATGTGAGCCGTTAGAAAACATCGATAAATCGGAGGTATTAGTACAATGATGCCGATAAAATCGATTTGGAAATGAATGCGAACGTGATCTTTTATCAAATACTCCAAAACTAGACCGAGTAGTTTTTACGTTTATTGGACTAGATTGTGATGAATCGTAATGTAATGCACTGCGTTGCTGGATGTGCGACTTTACGGTTTCAAGGATTTCGCGCCCATTTAGTGTTAAAAACTGAAATTCCCCTTCTTTTGCAATACTCGTCCTAAAAAGTAAGTAAAACATGAAATAAAAATATCTGAGTTTTATAAGTTATTTACAACAAACATTCTTACAAAGAGTCTTAACGAATTTCTATTAATTTGGTTTGGTTTTAAATACATTAACGAACTAAATTGTTGGAAAAAAACTAAAGGCATTTTTTTATATATAAGTCATCGAACTTTATTAAAATAATAAAAAATCAACTCCTTGTATAATATTTTTATCTTATTTGTTCCAATATATTTGCCTTCTTGGCTTCGTTACAGAGGATTACGTCATCCTAAGTTAGACCAAAGCTCAATTCTCTTTATGTTTAGAAATGGTGAACATGTGAAATTTACAAGCCTCTCTATTTGAGGAAGTAACATTTGTTACATGGTCATTAAATAAACAAACTTTAAGATTAAATTTAAATTAATCAATTTTAAATTATTTGAGTAAAAAATGTTGGTGAAAAAATATGTTAACACAAAGATTAAAAAAAATCAAATTCAAACATTTAAAATAGTTTTTAAACTCGCTTGGTCATAATAAACATGTCTACTGTAAACATTTTTCTAGTCCTCTAGAACTATTTTTAAGTTAATACAAACAAAAAACTTCCCTTTTTTCTTTCAATTTATATTTGAAATAACAGCTAAATATAAACACCGTTTTTTTTTTCCATTTTTTAGTAGCTGACAGCTTTTTCCAGCAATAATAAATTTTTGGTTAAAACTTCTATAGTTTTTAGCAGCATTTGCGTTGTTATTATATGATTAATTGATTTTAGACCAGATTGTAGGTCTAATAACATCAAATCAGTGTAAGGTACTGATAATAATCACTCTTCAAACTCATATTTATTAATAACTTTTAATATTAAAAATGTATACAGATTTTCACTGAACACATTATTGTTGATTATACTTTAAACTTTTTTATTTCAAAAAAAATTTACTTGGTGTGACAGAATACAATCTTTCTCCTTTTTGCATGACTAAGCAATACTTTTTCTTTTGGACATAAATATTTTGTCATTATTGTGGAAGATGTGACATGCGAGATTACTAGTAAATGCACATTGCATTTACTGGTAATTTTGCACATTTTTTGAGCTTTTTTTTAAATACACAACTTTAATATTAAAATGTCGTAAAATAATTGTAAATTTGTAAAATTTTTAAACTTCGAAATTAGAAAATAAAACTATTTTTTAAACGATAAACAATAATTTTCATTTACTCGACTAGATTATTATTTTTGACTAATCGAGAAGGTAACGTCGTAATAACAGAGCTAATCGAGATGAGCTTCCATCGTACCGAAGTGCTGACTAGGCGGAGTCAGGATTTGAATTTGCAATCTTGCTGTTTCAGCCATTAATAATTTCGAACTTTATTAGTGCGCTACTATAGCTAGTACGCGCTACTACTACTAGCACGGTATAGCGCTCTAACCAACTGAGCTATCCCGGCTCAAAGAAATAAAGAAGATAAAACAATTAGTTTTAAATATACCATCGTTTTGATAGTATGATTACAAGAAAAATATAGGGATAAGTTAAATACCAGTGACGTATCAAGAATGGGGCGGCAAGGGTGTACCGCCCAAGGTGGTGTTATTTATTTGCTGAATCCTTGGTTGATTTTCTTTGACACAAAAAGGAAAAATGCTGAGTCTGTTTTCGACTATGATTTTGGAAAAATTTGAACGTGGTGGAATAGATATTCAAAATTGTTTAGGATAAACACACGATAAGCACACGATATTTTTGCTGTTATGACTATTCACCTAACTGGTGTTCAAATGAGCATTAAAAAAATCAAAGATAAAGCAGATTTTGTTGCATCTACAAATCATTAACTAAATTTAGCAAGCGTGCGTGTAGTATCTTCTACTGTGAATACTGTTCAATTTTGAAGCAGTTATTCATAGTTTTCTTTTCTTTGACTTATTTCTAAGATGTTTTGATTTTTTTCGTGATTGAAGTGTCAAGCACCTAACGGAAACAAAATGAAGTGCAAAGAAAGATGCAGTTAGTGTTGTGAATAAAAATTACTCAAAATGTTTAAATGCTGTGGAAAAATTATTTTTTTAAGTTAATTGCTGCTGTTTGAATTGCAATCATTTTTGTTTTTGCGGTTTATCGGATTGTGGTAGGAACATACAACAACAATATCAAACTAAAATCTTTACACAATTTTTAACAGAAAATAGAAGTCAAACAGTTATTAAAGCATTCGTTTATGCAAAAGAAGCTTTGTGATAATCTGGCAATATTCATGGATTGTCAATTTTAAAAAAAAACACATAGCTAGTTGTATGAGAATTTTTTCAAAACTAAAATTTATTAAAAAAAATTACGTCAAATCTACAATGAGTAGGGAAGACCGAAGCTAGTTTGCAGCAGGGGTAAGTTGACAGACTGTATTTATCTTCAAAGCCTTTCATCAGAAAAGAACAAAAATTACATAGGATCTTTCTAATTGACCATTTCATCATTCACTAAAGAATTCGCGTATGCGCGTAAGCGATTTATGTGTTTTTATTCTATGTATTAATATATTAAGTTTAAAACTAACAACAAATGCAACGTAACGAGAAGCTTGTTAAACAAAACTTCTAGTCTTTGTCGTTAAGTTAATATAGTTTTGCAAATCACATATTACAGTTTCTTGCGCTCATCGCGTTTGTATATAAGCAAATTGAGTTAGGGCCTAGGGAGGTTAGAGCGTTAAAAATAAAAAAAGCATGTATTTTTCTATGTATTAAGTTCTATGTATTTATGTGTTTTAGACAAAGACGTAACCATTGAAACATAATTTACAAATAAAAGTTGGTCGTATGAAAAATTGTAAAAATTACAATCACAATTGTTTTTTTATTTCCAATCAGATTTTTTTTCAATAGTTGCCGTTTTTCAGGATCTATAGACTGTTTATTGAAAAAAAAGCTTTTGGGGTAAATTGGCAAAAATTTCACGGGGTAAATTGGCTCATAGCATATACTATGGGAAAAAAAAAAATTATAAAGTTTACAATTTTTTTTTTAATTTTTAACAATATTGAAAAAATTTATTTTTTACAAAAATAACAAAAAAAATTTTTTTAGGTTGTTTTTTTTATATTTTTGTAAAGAAACATTTTTTATATTTTTGTAAAAAAACAGATAAATAGTGGGCTACTGTTTTGGCTGTTACATGAACTAATATTTGGTACCAGCTAAAAGTAATATTAGATTTTTGGCTCAAAATTGTTACCAAAATAAATAAATAAAAATTCAATAAACTTTACACATAGTAGAACAATAATATTTTCAAAGTTTGCGCCAACTTAGAAAAATATTTTTATAATGAATGCAAGTTAAAAATATTACATAAATTCATACTTTTTAAAACTGCACTTTATTATTTAAAAAAATTTTGCCGTTAGGGCTAAAGAGCTTAAATATTAAAAACAGAGGCAACTAGCCCCGATCTCCCCTACCGCGTTTAAGAAACTTTGCCATACTATTCAATGAACAGAAATCGAGTAATGAAATTGACTTTGAAAGCCTCATTGTCGACATTGCTAACAGAAAATCAAGCAAAATAAACCTTTAGAATACTGAAACAAATGTTGATTTTTCAAAAAAACAAGTAATAAATAATCCTATACCTAAATAAGCTTTTTGAAAAACGCAATTTTTATTCTTTTAATGAGGGGCCACGCAAACCAGATTCCACTAACTGCGATATACACTCTTGCTACACCACTGTTATATACTCATATATTTTGAAATATGAACAAGTTGTATCTTTCCTTACAATATTTTCAATCTTTTGTTTCTCTTATTATTATCTTTTTTAAAAACATTTTTTTTAATTTTTGAGTTCTTTTTTTTAATTTCTTAAGTTCTTACTTAACAAGATGTGTTGCTGTAAATACACTCATAGAGTTCATAATTTTAATAATAAAATCAACTTTATAAAGATTCACATTTTTGCAAAAAAGAAAATGTGATTCTTTATAAAGTTTTCTACAGCATCCTTTTAAAATTGCTGTCTTCTACAGCAACTTTTAAAGGATGCTGATATAATGATGTTATATATATATCAAGCCTTTTTTGGTCTTTGAGATAGATAACTTCTAGAAATGGAGCAAACTCAAAACATTTATGTGTTTATACTTATGTCAAATAATGATGCTTTGCACGAAATTGCGATGATTGGAGTTTGGGAACAAAAAAGACCCAAAACTATTGCCTCTCTGCCCCTAACGTATATATAAATATATGAATATATATCTATATATATATATCTTATTCATCTGCATTTTCTGTTGAAAAAATCCTAATATTATCAAAAAAAAACCTCAAAATTAAAAACTGAATGCTGTGCGCTAAACTTAATTGATGATTTGAATCTTTGATATGTCTGTCGTAATTGGAACGAAATTGTCCAACAAAAGGCAAAAGATTTTTTTTTTTGTATCTATCGGTTGAACACGATATAAAAGTTCACGATAAACCTTTTATTCGCTAATTACTCAAAAACTACTTGATAAATTTTTTTGCACATAGAAGCTAATGTGTTGTTGTTTGATTGTAATGGTAATAAGTATTGGTTATCAATGCTATCGGATTAAAATGAGTAAACAAATATTAAATCAAAAAAATGTTTTGAAAAACTTTTTTCATTGTTACAAGTTGACTTTTCAAAATTGACCGGTATTTCTCGATCATCAGTTGAATTTATTTTGCGGCGATATAAACAGATTCAATCTATTGAAAGAGAAGCGAGAAGTGGAAAAAAGAACGAATTTAAAGATAAATATAAAGCAAAATCAATCATTCGCTTTATAAAGGCAAATACATGTCAATCGCTGAGAGATCTTGCGAGAAAATTTAAATGCAGTCTTTGATAAGAAAAGTACTTGGATCTCAAGAATATAAAGCATAAAAAGAAATCTCGAAATCAATTGATGGAGAAATTAAAGCAATTCGTACTTTAAAAATGCTATACAAACTTTTAAACCGAGAAAATTTGTGCATAATTGAAGACAATTGAAGACCTATTGCAAAAAGGACTTTTCACAATTGTAAATACGTTGTAAAAAAATTCAAGTAAATTCAAACTAAAAAATTTACTCCAAAGCTTCTTATTTGGCAAGTAATCTATTCATGTGGTTTAAAAAGTACAACATACATTACTCGTAAAACTTTGAACTTGATTTATATATAAAAGAATGCTTAAAAAAACGCCTTCTGCCATTTATTGAAAAGCATCAAACGCCTACAATATTTTGGCCTGATTTGGCTACAATTCACTACTCCACGAAGTCTCTAGAATGGTATGAACACAATGGCGTCAAATTTGTTCCTAAGGAAGCAAATCCTCTAAATTGTCCTGAGCAGCGAGTTATTGAAAGTTATTGGTCAATTATAAAAAGAGCGTTATTGAAAAGCAAGAAATTAGCTACAAATTAAAAAAAAATTATAAGAACAAATGGATAGCCGCCTCAAAAAAAACTCAAAGCAAGATCCAGCAGATGATGTCAAGTACTCGCAAAGATATTTGGTTTCTACCTAAGCGTCCGATAAAAAATGTAAAAAACTATTGAAATAAATAATTCAATTAGCTTCATTGTGTCAAAAATTATTAAAGTCTGTTAAACAGTTTTCTTGTAATTATCAATTAAATGGTGCTGAATTTCATCGTGTTCAACCGATAAAATATATCATAAAGTATTTTGAAACTATCACTAAATTACTCAAATTCGTAGCTGCTTTAATGTTTGTTGTTGTAATTTAATATACAACCGAAAACAGAAAAGCTGACAGCATATACTAATTTCTGATACTAGACAAACAGAAAACATTAGCTACAAAAAAAATATAAAAATCTACTTAAAAAATTTCAGCAATGTCAATAAATGTGCTAAAATAATAACTTTAAACAGACCGTTCATTTCAAAAACCCTTTATGTTACTATATCAAAACAAACCTGTGACATCAGTCATATACTTTTTTTTATATATATTATATATATTATGCTACAAATGCTAATCTTTTATTACAAAATAATACCGAGGGCAATCCAAAGTCTTGCTTTTTAATTCTTGGATTTTAAAATTGTTTTTAATTTGAAATTGGTGTTAATTACCTGGGCTTGCTATAATAACCAATAAGCAATATTCTCAAACTTAAAAAGTTTTTGTAATGTGTGTAGTTTTTATATGGGAGTAATTATGGTAAATTTCTAAAAAGCAACTAAATAATTTTTACTTTATTTTTTTTTCTGGCTAAATGATAGGATTAATGGTAAATTAAGGCAACAAAACCTAATCAACACAACATCATTTGCGACTTATTGAAACGCTAATTTGTCCAGTACACTTGCAATACATGCATTGAATCAAGCAGTAAGGTTAATAAGCAAAACGTAGCAGCAAGGCTAGTAAGTAAAACCTTGCAGTATGACTAGAAAGCAAAACGTAGCAGTAAGGCTAGTAAGCAAAACGTAGCAGTAAGGTTACGACAAGCTGAAAAAAACGCAAACTTGACTTTTAATGTTGATGACGAAGTTAAGTTACAACCTTCAAAAACAATTCTGAACAATAAAAAAAATGCAAAAAATGCACACAAAAAAAAAGTTTGAAGAAAATGAAAATTGTTAATGGTTTAGATGTGAAAGTACAACTTGCAGAAGCTGGGTTTGTCAAACATGTTTATCTAAAAAATATAAAACTTGTGAAGAATTTTTATTCAATTTTTATTAAGATGTCGAAACTTGTAAAATCTCTTTTTCTTGTAAATTATTCAATTCTTTTGTAAATTAAATTTATCTTTTTGTAAATTAGCTTTGTAAATTAGTTGTTTTTATTATATTACCAATACTTTAACACGTTCTTTTCGGGTAAAACTAAACTTTTTTTTTTCAAATAAATCTATTTTTAATGCCAATTAAATCCAATTTTTAATGCCAATTAAATCCAATTTTTAATGCCAATTAAATCCAATTTTTAATGCCAATTAAATCCAATTTTTAATGCCAATTAAATCCAATTTTTAATGCCAATTAAATCCAATTTCAAATAAATTCATTTTTTTTCAAATAAATCCATTTTAAAAAATTTTAATTTTAATCTTTTTTCTTTTTTTTTTTTCAGATTCGGTATAGGGTCGTTTCCACACCTACCGTGAGTCGACACTTATCGTAGGTTTTAAATAGTAACATAAATTTTGCAAAAAGTAATTATTTTATTTTTATATTTTGAGTGTCAACAACATCGTCATGCATTTCTATTACAATACATGAAAACCCTAATACATAGTTACTTTTATGAACTCAAAGGGTTTATTACGTCAACATATGAAAATATTTTTTTTTAAGTAGCAGCTGTTAGAAACATTTCAAAAAAAACAAGGAAATTTAAAAAATAATTTTATTATTAAAAAATAATTTTATTTCTAAATTGACTTAATCACGTAAATAAAACATAAATCATTATTAAAATTTAAAAACCAATCATTATTATAGTATCAATGAAGTATTATTGCATGTACGATAAGTATGAACTAAAAAAAATATCATTTCATACATATCGTATGCTCAATGAATAATTAATTTGTTTCTTTTTTTCTATAAAAATAAATATTATTTTACTTAGATTCTTTTACAATGGCAAGACAAAAATATAAACAAAAAGCTCAAAACGAAAACTTAAATATACTGATAGTCAAATACGTGATGCTATTAATGCTGTTGAAAAAGGTATGGTTGGGTAGGGGAAGATGGGTAGGAGTGAGCCACTTTTTTTTAAATCGATTATATCAAGGAAACCAAAAGTGGAAAAAGTATAGGATAAGGAGCCTAAGGTAGCCTAAAGTATTAGGTTTCTAATAGTAATCCAAGAAATATCAAAATATCTTTAGATTTTTAATAACTTGAACAATAACGCAGGTGTTGCTATTGGTTCACTTCTACCCATGCATGGGTAGGAGTAAACCAAGCAAATGGTAGGAGTGAGCCATTATCTTTGATTACCAGAAAACTAAAACTAGATAATTTCTTTAACAAATTTATTGAAAATTAAGTAAGTAACAAATACTTTATAATTAAGCATAACATAATTAAGTAATAATATAACTTATATATATATATATATATATATATATATATATATATATATATATATATATATATATATATATATATATATATATATATATATATATATATATATATATATATATGAATATATATATATATATATGAATATATATATATATATATGTATATATATATATGTATATATATATATATATATATATATATATATATATATATATATATATATATATATATTATATATATATATATATATATATATATATATATATATATATGTATATATATGTATAAATATGTATATATATACATGCATATATATATACATATATATACTTTTAAGATCATTACATATATGTAATGAAAGTAGTATATTAGCATATAGTATATTGGCAATAAAAATAATATTTAGCAAATACTGATATAGTCAAACACAACCTCAAATTTGTAATGGCAATGCTGCCTTTTATTTGTTCCAGAAAAAGTTAGCCGAGGTAGCAACAATTTAACATCCATTCTAGGGATAGTCACAATATCTGGTGAAATAGGCATCTTAAAAATATCACCTTTTTTCCAAAGAAAACTGATTGTAACTTCTTCTTTTATAGAGTTTACACATAAAACCTTTCCAACATAAAACAATTTTTTTTTTGTTGTTTCAAATTTAACCAATACAAAGTCTTCTTCTTTAGGATATATATCACAAGCACACAAATCATCTTCTAGGATTATTAAACCTTTTTCATTTGTGGGTGTCAAATGTTCCAATACAGAATCGTCTTTTTTAAGTAATTTTTTGTTAATCTTCTGTAAATTTGCTTTTAATTCTTTTGTAAGTTTGACTAACTTTTTATTGCAGAGCCTTTTCTCAATCCGATCTCTCTCAGGAGTGTCTGTGGCAATGATAGAGCAACCCTTCTTCTTCTCTTCAACCCTTCTTCTTCTTCTTTCCCTTCTTTTACAGTTTTTTTTTCCAGATTTCGGAAAACCTCTGAATTGTTTAGGGCTGATAAAGAAATCTGATGATGTAGACAGATTAACCATGGTATCATTGGTAACTAGTTTGTTTGTATCTATAGTAGTAGAGGTAGTGGGGTCTGCATTTGGTGAAACATGTGGGTGAAAAAAATTATCAGAAGTAATGCTTACGTGATTTTTTATGCAAGTATTGTTAACATCAAAAGTTCTGTCTGACACGTTCCTGTCATAAGGAAATATACCTGTCTTTTTAAAAGCAGCAACAATGTTAGATGGTGTTATGGCTTTCAGAAAAGCAAGCTCTACAGATGCAGCAACTTGGTAAATTGTAAATGTTTTTCCAGGATTGTGGAGCATCCAGAAATCAATTGCTGCATTATATGCAGTTTTAAATGGCCCCATAACTCCCACATCAAGTGGTTGTAACTTATGCGTGGAATGAGGCGGTAATGTCAAAATGGTCACTCCATGCTCCTTTGCTAAATTTAACACTGCTATAGATAAGTGCGCTTCGAAAATGTCATATATTAATAATGATGGATTTTCTTTTGTACTTGACGAGAACTTGATAAAGTGATTCATAACATCTAAAAAAAAGTTCACCGTTCATCCAGCCTGTTTTACATGCAAGTCCGAGAGATCCAGAAGGAGGTCCTAACAACATATGCTCCTTGAAATGCACTCTTGGAAAAATAATTACTGGTGGAAGATATTGTCCAGAAGCACTGATTATTATACATGTTGTGACAAGGGTTCCTCTTCAGCACTTGTGACTTTGCAGACACTCTTCACACCTTTCTTTGCAAGAACCTAAACATTTAGAGGTTATATATAAAAAAAAATATGCCTCGAATAAAAATATACTTATTATTGAAGATTAACATACCTTTTGTGGGTTCTGCACGGTAATAGTTTCAGTTTCATCAAGGTTAAAAATCCGAGTTCCGTTGGCAAATATTGGTGATCTAGCAAGAAGTTCTTTTAATTTATCAAAAAATATATTTACATTATGGGCATTAAATGATGTTGCCCTTGAGAGAGAACATTCTTCAGGTGTTCTAAGAGACCATTTTGGATGTCGCTTTCTAAAATTATTCATCCAATCAATACCTGCCATTGAGTCTTTGTGCCACTTCTGTGGAATACTAATTTTTTTTATGGTTGCAATCTCAAAAGCTATACACCGACATTCTTTTATTGGAAGGCCATAGAACATTCTTGAACAGGTCAAAATATATTCCTTTAATTCTAATTCCTGCTTGTCTGTAAATATTTTTTTAACATAATAATTCGGGCTAAGTCTTGTATTTTCATCAAGCAAAATTTTTTTCCAATAACGACGAAGAGTTGGATAGGGTATTTTGGAAGTTATTGCAGTTTCTCTAATACTTTTTCCTTTTTGGATCGAATGTAATGCATCCTTCATATTTTTACTGGGGGTTTTTGCTTTTGAAGTTGTTCTTTTATAGACTCGAGGCATTATAACATGTGGTAAAAATAAATGCAATGCTGCACACGAGTTTTCTAATGATATACTAAAATATTAAAGCCAAACCTAAATATGTTTTTATGCTAAAGTCAAAACTTTTTTAACGTAAAGTATTAGTTAGCCGCGGTTCACTCCTACCCGTGAGCATATTTTGAAACCCTATACAGGCTCAGAATAGGCGCCTATTCTGAGCCTGTATAGGGTTTCAAAATATGCTCACGGGTAGGAGTGAACCGCGGCTAACTAATACTTCACGTTAAAAAAGTTTTGACTTCAGCATAAAAACATTTTTAGGTTTGGCTTTAATATTTTAGTATATCATTAGAAAACTCGTGTGCAACATTGCATTTATTTTTACCACATGTTATAATGCCTCGAGTCTATAAAAGAACAATCTTTTTTTTTTTTTGTCATTATTATTTGGCAATTACTCTATTTCACTTCTATTATTCAATACGTTTTTTGACATTTGTTTTGATTTAAACTTAGGCGCAAAAGCCTCTCTTTCAAAATTGGCGAATCAGATTGCGCATATCTCTGCCTAGGCAAGAGATATTGCGCATATCTCTGCCTAGGCAGAGATATGCGCAATCTGATTCGCCAATTTTGAAAGAGAGGCTTTTGCGCCTAAGTTTAAACCAAAACAAATGTCAAAAAACGTATTGAATAATAAAAGTGAAATAGAGTAATTGCCAAATAATAATGACAAAAAAAAAAAAAAAGATTTTTTTATCCATTTTTGTACAATATAGTATATTTATTTTCTTAAAAATAAAGATTAAAAAAAAATTAGTTTGTTTTCTTTATTTTTTTATAACTCTAAAATATAAAAATAACAACGATTGTAACAAACTATAAACCAGATGGTAAAACTTTACTATGCTTTTATTGATATTACTTGGTAAAATTTTAAAACTAACAGTTTTAAAATTTTACCAAGTAATATCAATAAAATATTATTAACTTGGTATAAGTTTTTTCAAATTAAGTTCCCATTAATCCTATCATTTAGCAAGAAAAATATATTTTTTAAAATACTTTATTTTTTTCAGGATTTTTACACTTATTATTCCCATTTATAAATTGTGTACACCACTAAAACATTTTAAGTTTAAGAATATTGCTTATTGGTTGTTGTAGCTAGCCCAGATAATTTACATCACTCTCAAATTAATAGCAATTGTAAACAAGAGCTGATTTAGATTGGCATTGGTAATGTATAGTAATAAAAGATTACAAAGCATTGTAGCATAATAAGCTATAAAAAAAAATTTATAATCTGTTTTATGTCCACAAGTGTGTTTTGATATAGTAAACTGATTACAAAAATGAACAACTCTTAACTTACCACACCTTTATGCAGAGCTAAGTGTAAAAAGGTAAAAACAAGAAAAATTGCAAAAATACATGTTCATGTTGTTGTTTATTTCAATTTTAAAAGACAATACATATAAAGCACATGTTTGTTGATATATAGCTTTTAACCTGAACAAAATATTGGTTATTGAATTCTATAATTGGTAAAAAACGTTTAGTCTTAAATAGCAACTGATGGTAAATAAAATTAAATAAAGCAACAAAGTTTGAAATTTTTTTTATTTATTATGCTATTAATTTATTTTACATTACATACTCCAGAAGAAAAAAAAATATCTTCTCTAAAAAAAAGAAAAAAAAAACCTTTTTTTATTTTTCTAGGCAGAAATATTTATCTTTCATGTTTCCAAATTTTATTAATAGTTTTATTATGTAATCTTTGGAATAACCAATTAAATCAAGTGTGCTTTTTTTGAATTTCTGTGAATACCTCTTGTATAATAATTTAAAAATAGAGATGTGTTATGTTTTATCTTGAAGTAGTATTTTTTTTTTTCCCTCAAACATCAGTTCTTTGGAATTCGCTTCCTTCCTCATGCTTTGCTGATTCATATAATTTGCAATCTTTTAAGTCGTCTGTCAATCGTTATCTTGCTCTACAATCTTCATTTTTTCTCTTCCAGTAACTTCCAACACTAATTAGTGGTTGCTTGCAGCCTTGTTGGAAGCGAAGATATTTAAAAAAAAAATTTTTGACTTTAATACTTTTTCTTGCTTTTAATTTTATTGTTTATATGTAACTTCACAAAAAATTACTGTTCAGCAGACAAACATATAAATTTCACTTCTGTTGTTAAACTTTCAAATAATATTTTATACATACAGTTAATATTGCCTGCCAAAATTTTTTTTAAATTTTTAAAAAGTGTTTAATGGTTTAAGATGATGTTTTATTAGAGTTATGCAATAAAAAGTAAATCAGTCTCCTCCAAACAATAGTTGAAACAAAACATGAAAACAAAATCTCCTCAAAACTCATATATTGACATGGAACGTGTAAGCTAGTTTTGCAATAACTACAAATTTTCTTTATTTAAAAACTCTAATGTTCAACTCTTTATAATTAACGTATAAATCAATTTATAAATAAAGTTCTTCATCAGTAGTCTGGTAAAACTGCATATAATCTTCATATGCAAAAGTACTTCACAAGTAGTCTTGTACAACTGTATATAAACTTTGTATTTGAATATGCTTTAAGGCCAAGAACATATTTTGCGAGAAATAAATTTATAGATCTGTAGTGTAGTAAATTAAATAGTCTATAATTAATTCTAAGCCAACATAGAAGGCTTTATTCTTCATATAAAAATATGTAAACTAAAATATACAAACAGGTTAGTTTTAGTATAAACATAACTAAACTCAACAAGGATATAAATAATTATAAGAATCAGCACAAGATCTTTTCGAATTACACTTTTTTCTATTTCTTTAATTAACAACAGATAAAACCTCCATCACCAAGATGAACTTTATTGAAACTTTGAGATTTTTACGAGTGAAAATTCTCTGTTACAAATAGATTTTGTTACAAATTGATTTTGTTACAAATAAATGTTGATAGTAACACAAGACTTGTATTGATAGACTTAGTTCATCATTACTATGAAATTTATTTCAAAATCTGTTTAGATTTAAAATTTATTTTTAAATAAAGCGCATTTGCCTCTCTTTCAAAATCAGCGAATCAGATTGCTCATATTTCTGCCTATTCTGAGCCTGTATAGGGTTTCAAAATATGCTACCCGTGATGGAATGGCTCATTCCTCCCCAAGCTGTGCAACTGAATTAAAACATTAAATGTTCAATAAGTACGTGGTTTGTGCATGTAAAATACTTTGTTCTAAAAACTACATGTCTTATTAGTAAATTTTCAACCACTATCTAATGTCTCAAAACAACCGGATAGCTCATTAAAGAAGTTTCAAAAAATACAAAAAATTTACTTTTGCACAGAAAAGGGTTGATGATAACGTTAACGCAGACACCCACACCAAGAAGGGGTAAAAAAATTGGATTGTATTAACAACAACTTGGATGCAACTACTTGTTGAAAATTTTGAGTCTTTTTCATTTCCCGTTTTAGCTGTAGGATCAACGGTTCACTCCTACCCTTGGCTCACTCCTACCCATCCTACCCTACAAAGCGAGCAAGACGTTTGAAATTCCTTATCACACGTTTCGTGATAAAATATTTGAAAGAACTTCTTTAAAGATACAACACTGCGGGTGAACACATTGAAAACATTGAAACACATTGAAATCGGTACTAGGTGAACACATTGAAAACAAGTTAGTCGAGTGGTTATTAACATGCACCAGAATGGGATTTGCTATTTTAGTAGTACAGCTATTAGATACCGTGCATTAAACTTTTGAATTCCAGCTATATAAAAACACAATTTACTAACAACCGTTCTGAAAAAGGTTGGTTTTATGCATTTCTTTGCCGTCACGAACAGCCTTCCCAAATACGAGGTGAATACTTAGACTAAGCTAAAGGAGGAGTAGCTGAAAAAGCCATAAGAGATTGGTTTGCTGAAATTCTGAAGCTTTTGGGAGAAAACACTTAATATTTAAATGGTTCGATGCAAGTTTTCAATATGGATGAGAGTGATTTTCAGTTGTTACGAAAAACCAATTTATTAATTTGTAAATGAGGAAAATATGCATACTAAGAAAGTGCTCAAAGTAATAAAAAAATATCACTACTTTATTTGCAGTACATGCCAAGAACTTTTGCTTTTGCTTCACTATTAACAATTTTTAAATATGTTCGTTTTCCTAATAGAATTATAAATGCTGCTCCATCAGGATGGGGTATTGAAAAAAGCAAAAATGGTTGGATGGTTGCAGAATGTTTTTTTGAGTATATTACAAACCTTTTTCATCCATTTTTGATAAAAAAAAGAAATTCCTTTACCAGTTATTATTTTTTTTGATGGTCATGCGTCACATTTTTCTTTAAAGAGTTTTGCTCTAAAAATGGAATAGTTTTTGTTGCTTTGTTCCCAAATGCAACACATATTTTGCAGCCGCTCGATGTGGCAGTTTTGGGCTAATAAAAGCAAAGTGGAAATATTTTTGCCGATAATGGCGCATTGACCATGAAGGACAAGAAATAAACAATGATAATGTACGAGAAGCATTAAATTTTTTTATAATCAATACTTCTATGGCAAATAATATCAAAAGTTGTTTTAAAAATATACCGGAATTTTTCCATTTGATGCTAATAGTGTTGGCAAAAATAAAATTGTTCAAAAGTTATCTGAGTCAACTGTTGTTCCGGCTCCTTATTTAGAAGAAAACTATTCAAGAGTGACTTTATCAGCTCCATCTCCAATAACCTTTGTTAAAAAGTGCATTGATTTATATATTTTAAAGCAGCTTAAAATAGTTGACGAACATTTAGTTTGGAAAGGTGATCTTGAATACATCTAGTTGTATCATTTTTGGAAAAGAGCCTCATCTGAAACATATAATATCATAATTTATCTAATGAAATACAACAGGGTAATAAATATTTATCAACAACTTGTAATTTAGAAAATGTGCAAGTTAAAACCGATAAGGAAATGCCTGATTACAATAATGCAGCGGTAATAGAACCAAAACCAGTTTATTTCAGTTTAAAAATAGCACCAAAAATCATAAATCCAACTGAAAGTGTTTTTATATGGCCAAAACAACCAGTCCAAATGTTCAAGCGCAAAGTAGAACGTTTACCATCGGTTTAACATCTGAAACGTGGCAGCAAATTCAGAAGACAAAAGTGCAAGAAAAGTCACAAGTTAAAGATGAAAGATTAAGAAAGAAACAACTAGCTGCAGATAAAAAGTCAATTATAGAGGAAGAAAGATTAAGAAAGAAAAAATTGGCTATGGAGAAAAAGTTATTTAATGAAAAAACCAAAAAAAAAAAAGTTACAAAAGAAAAAGAAAGCCTTAAAGCTGAGTCAGAAAACGAGTTCCATTTAAATGCTTAAAATAATTATAAAATAAGACTCAGATAGTTACGATAAAACTCAATCCTTTCCAGTTTAAGAACTTAAAAGATATGTACTAAAGTAATGGAAATTCTTTAAAATCTTTAGTTTTAATTCATTATAATATTTTCATTACTACATAATTAATGTTTATTTAATAGTCTTTTTTTTATTTATACACCTAAAAGCGTTTAATAAAATGTTACTAATCCATTAAATTTTCATTTGAAAACGCGAGCTCATTTTAAACGAGACACTAAAGTAGATTTTAAGATATACGATAAGTGCGACAATATATACGATAAGTGTGAAACACTTACGATAAGAATGGAAAACTGCGCTTTAAAAGTTTGATCAAAATAATTACATTATTTATTTAAATTTCAGAATGTGATTAAACTAACCCTTATAGTGTTACATTGACGGCTGCAAAAATTTATTTCCAAAGCATTTCTACTTTTTGAGTAATCAAAAATATTAAAATAACTTTTGTACTTACGGTAATGTGAAAACGACCCTAGTTCTTTTTTTTAACAAAAAAAAAAAAAAAAAAAAAAAAAAAAAGTTTAAATTATTTTACTATTAAAAAAAAGATTAATTATAAAAATAAGTGCTCAGTTTTACCACTTTTTACTCTACTAATTATAGGTTATATAAACCAAATCGTTTTATGTGTTTAACTAAAATAAATCTGGTTTTCCAAATAATTCTTTTATAACCACAAAGTCACTAAATTGCTTTTATTAGCATTTGAATAAAAATCCAACTACTTATAAATTAAATCAAGTTAGTTTTTGAATTAAATAAACTAAGTGATCAGATTTTCAAAACTTTTTTTTCAACTAACAAACTACTTTTTTATTTTTATTTACACTTGAAGTTGAACTGTTATTTAATCCCCTTCAAACTTAAAAAAAAATTCACATGATCACTATTTCTATACATCTAGAAGTTTTCAGATAAAATTTTAATTTTTTTAAAGTGCATTGGTTTACTTTAAAATGTCAATTTTTTTTTTTTAAATTCTTTAATGAGGGAATGAAGAAAGAATGATTGGAAATCATTATGTTCCCATGTTTCGATTATCTTATAAAACATTCTCATTTTATAAAACATTCTCCTTTGATTTAATTATGAATAAGCAAAAGCTTGGAATTTGCATCATGCTTAGAAGTCATTAGTAATGCCAAAAATCAAAAAACCAACTCTTTAAGCGTAAAAATTTGCCTTCTATGTCTATATTATTCATAAATACATTTTTGGTCATTTCAGAAAAGAGCGATAATGAATTTCGCAAGACATGATAAAGACAAAATAAAAAACAAAAAAATGCACGTTAGCCGATACGTATACATCCGTTAACTCACGTCATTACATATGAGTAAATGTAATTAAATAAATAAACATCGTTTGACATAAGCGTTAAAACTGGCCTGGGAAAGGATTTTTACTAAAATTTTCTTATTATAATTTTATAAACTAACTCAAGATCAATCAAATATAGCAAAATATAGCAATATAATCAAATATAACGTCACGGTAAGGAAGGAGGCGTGAACTTCCTGGTTAAATGCACTTCCGCGGTGCTCTGTGACAAGACCGTTAGGTCTTCTTGGAGCACCTAAATAACAATTTAGAAAAAAAAATGTTCTCTCGAATTTAATAAATTTTTTTTATTGAAAACACTAATAATTATTTTTTTAATTTCTTTTTTTTACTCAAAATTCAGATGCAGATGTAGAGGGCGAGAAAAAAAAAGTAAGACCAAAATTGGCATCTAAAGATTATTATACTGTCGGCTCGATGGAGTAAAAAATTTTTTAAACCTTAGCATGCTAAAAAATTAGCAGTTTACGTTTTATAATGGTCCTATATCATAAAAAAATTGAAACAATTTCTGAAAATATTTAAACTATCATTTTCAAATTTCTAAATAATGCTTCTAATACGATAGATTGACTATTTCTAAGCAATGGTCGAGGAAGACATAGTATCTTATCTCCGAGCCCCGTTTACCCTGTCACCGTCGGTTTATATTCAACTTATATAAAAAATGTAAAATACAATTTTTAGAATATATATCAATATATTATAAGTTAACTTCAACATTACTTTTTTTTTTATTAAATTTTATTAAGTAAAAGTAAAAATAATTGGAGTTTTTTTAGTTTTTTATTTTATGCATTTAATGGAAAAAAAATATTTAAATGCCTTTTTGTAGAATTAACCACTTGAGTTTTTTTTTTCCTGTTTTAAAGACAAATTTAGAACAATATTGTTTTTGATAATATTTTCTTGAAAATTTTTTTATTAAAAAGTATTTTTGCAGTAAGAAAGAAAACTACAAATAAATAAAAAATCCTATATTTTTTAAAGATTCAATATTGAGAATCATGAGATTCAATATTGAGAACATGGCATGAAAATATTCTTTGAGATTTAATTTTCAAAAGATTTAATATAAAATTTCCATAATATATTTTTATTTAAAGTCACACTAAGGAAGTTAGCGATTGGCCTTCAATATTTGTTTTTTTTCTTGAACATTATGAAGATGCGTAAGTTTATATGGACCACCTTAATTCAAGGTAAATATGGAAATGAAAAAAATGTTGTTTAACGTCATCAAATTTCAAGAAATTGATACTTGTTAAAAATGTTTCGACAATTATTAAAAATTGAAAATTCAGCTCATTTACTTTTAAAGCAGTAAAAAACCAACATTAGAAGAATTCATTTTTAGTATTTGATCTAAATTTTATTTTAAAATTAAATAGTTTTGATGTGTCAGTTGTTAATAATTAGGGGAAAGTGGGAAAAAGTGAGACGCATAAGAAGAGGACATTCTGAAAGAGACATTCCGAAAATTTCAATTATAAGAGGTCTTAATCAATGTTACCCAATGTAAACAATGAGATTTCTTCCCCTCTATTTAGCAGATTTGAAAAGTTCACTAATTAGAAGCTATGGAGACTGAATCTAAAGCTATTGAGACTGAGTCAATTCTACAGCCTAAGCTTCTAAACACGTTTAAGCCAGTACATCACAAACTTCCAAATTGAATTAGTTTTTATATATTTTTTTTAATTATAAGAAATTTTTTAAGACTTTATAAAATGAATCAAAATTTTATGGTCATTTTTTTTTATCTACTAGTTTATTGAAATAACTGATAAATATCATTAAGGTAAAAAGGTTTCATTTGATAATTTGAAAATCTTGCTTAATTTTAAAATTATGTCTTTGCTTATCCTCGACACAAAGGCCCACATTTGACTTTGATTTAGGGCCCCATTATGGCTTAATATCGTTCTAATTTTTTTCAGGTGAACTATTAAATTCCATCTTATTTGGCCTATGTTACTGTCCAAATATTTTTTTAAACATTATATAAACTAAATATATACCGGGCTAAATTTACAGTGAAAATTTTCTCAGTATCGTAGAGTTGATTTAGCTTTTGTAGTCTGAATCTTGGTATATCATCCAAATCCCATACAACAACAGGATTTTCCGAAAGGTTCGGAGTTGCATGGTATAACTGTATACTTTTTTGTGTGATCGATAAAGTATAATCTCCTGCTAAGCCAAGCCGTTCTGATCCATCTGTTTTTATTATTGTGACAAAAAATGATCCTGAAAAAGAAAAAAATTCTTGTCATAATCTTCTTAGGCACCGAACAATAAATAAAGTAAAACCGTTAAAAATAAAGTACCGAAGAATGAATAAAGTTAAAGCATTGAAAAGAAAGTACCGAACAATAAATAAAGTAAAACCATTAAAAATAAACTTACTAAATGTTTCAATAATAAGTTTTGCATTTAAGAAAATTACTTTTTTTGCAAAACGAAAATTATAAGCATAATAAAAAATATTGCAGTTAAAGTTAAAAAACATATTTTAAATTTTATTTGTTAAACTTTTTCAGAGTATTTTTCCAATTTTTCTTCTCAAACTATTGCATTGACTATTGGATGCTTTTGCAATTTTTCCGAACGTTAGGGGTTTACAAGCGGAGAAATCTTTTACTTTTACTTTAAATTTTGCAATCATCCTGTTTTATTTAAAAAATTTTTAAAATTTAGTCTTTTGTTTGTTATATCTGTTACTCAGAAAGTTTTAATCTATCAGTAAAAAATTTAAAAAAAAAAAAACTCAAAACTCAACGATGATATCAAATTTGTTTAATAATAGGCAGATGTTTGGTGTAAGCGTGGTGTAAGCGTGGTGTAAACGTGGTGTATACGTGGTGTAAACGTTTCAATAAAAAATAAAGTAGTTAAGCACTTTGGAGGAAAAAAATTCAAGTATTTTATGATAAATGTTATAAATAATTCGAATTCAAGTCAAGAGATTATTTACTCTAATCATTCGGTTAGAAAAACTCAATAGCAATCTTCATATATCTTATTAAAAAATAAAAAAATCGATCAAAAACAAAACCTTCGGTGTTCGGAATTACCCTGCGTACGTGGGGTAATTTCGAGCACTATTGGCTAATAGCAAATAAAATGTTGATCAAAGCAAATAAAACTTGATTGAAGCGTTAAAATATTATTGAATAAAATTTTAAACAAATCAAACGTTCAAGAAACAACTATCAATAAATTTTATTCAAACCAAAAAAAATGTTACATGAATGAAATCTCAAATATCAATAAATGTTATTTATAAACTGTTACATCCATTAATTTAATGCAAAAATCACAGAGAAAACCTCTGGATGTGCTTGCACAACTTGTGCACTTCTCGTGGAACCACGACTTACATTTGTAACACATAATCCAGTCTTCCGTATATATATATATATATATATATATATATATATATATATATATATATATATATATATATATATATATATATATATAAAGTAAAAAAAACTAATCTATTTATTATATTCAAGTAGCTTCTCTGTAAAGTGACCAGGATACTTTCTGATACTATAGTATCAGAAAGTATATGAGTGTAGTTTTAAATTCTGTATACAGAAGGTATAAGTACGATTTTAATACAAAAGTACATAAGTGTTTTTTACTAATTAATTAGTGCTCTGTTCTTTATACGCATTTGAGAGCATTGAGAACTTTTTTTCTAAAACATATAACATAATTTAAACACACACACACACACACACACACACACACACACACACACACATATATATATATATATATATATATATATATTTATATATATATATACATATATATATATATATATATATATATATATATATATATATATATATATATATATATATATATATATATATATGTATATATATATATACATGTATATATATATATATATATATATGTATATATATATATATACATGTATATATATATATATGTATATATATATATATATATATGTATATATATATATATACATGTATATATATATATATATATATATATATATATATATATATATATATATATACATGTATATATATATATATATATATATATATATATATATATATATATATATATATATATATATATATATATATATATATATATATATATATATATATATATATATATATATATATATATATTACAATAATAAACTAAATAAATAATGTATAATAAATTTGTTTAAGAAACGTCCGTTTTTTATCAGATATGCTAGAATACTTTGAGAAAACAATAAGCGTTCGCGATTACCCCACTAAGATAGTTCGTCATTTCCCCGCGATCCAACTAAATGAAATTAAACGAATATATTGAGGTAGTATTATCATACCCTAAATATAATACGTGTTACAAACTCCATGATTATGATACTTTGCAACAATAATATATATGTGTGTTTTTATATACATAGTATTGCCGATACATAAATGTTTCGCAAATAAAAATTACATTAAACTAAGAGAAAAACTTAAAATCAATCTATCGCAAACAACCTGCGCATCTATACTACACTACTGCACGTCTGGAACTGAGCATGGAACCCACTCTCGTCAGAAAAAAAAAGATTGCAAACTATCCTTTTCTAACATGACGTAACAACCTTTTTCGGTGTTACCCCGCGTTCGCCATTACCCGACTCTCACCTACTAATGACAACTACTTTGCAAATATTCAGCTTTGAGAAGAACCAACGTAACGTAGAAAAAATAGTTTTTAGCTAATAAATGTACGTTATTTAGTTATCTAGAATGCAATTTGTTTAAAACTTTTAAAAGCTTTATTTAGGTATTTTTCAGCTGTCCATTTAAACAAATAATAGTGACAACATGTTGGTGTGTGTTATTTTAAGAGAGAGTGTGAGTGAGAGAGAGAAAGAAAGAAATAAAGAAAGAGAGAAAAAGAGAAAGAAAATTATATAGGCTGTGGCAAGAATAAACGACTGCGCGAGCAGTGAAAAAGCCGTCTAAACCAGACTTACAAATATACATTGATTTTGTATCATTAGTTTTGAATTATAGTGTTTTTTTTTCTTACCTCATTACGCTTAGGTATATTTGTTTTCGTTTCATAATACTGTGATTCCAATACGTTTTGTTACAAGTTGCTTTTTTACTCTCAGAGTTCTTTCAGTTTCATGTTCAGTTTGTTTTATCAAGGTAAGGTTGCCGTTGTTATTCTTCAGATGCCATGGTCTTTTTTTCAGAAGGAGTGCGCAGCGCTAAATTGTTTAAATAAAAGTTTTCATCGCTTTCTCCACAGAATAAAAAAAAAACGGCAGCCTTATTTTGAGGCTGCTTACACTTTTGTTTTTTTTTAATCAAGTTTTTTTCTATTTTTCTAATCTTTTTTTAAAATTTTGTTTATTTGATGAATTTGCAAACAAGAAAAAAATGGTCAGCAAAGCAACACTCATGTTACATTAAAAGTTTTTAATCAAGCATCCATTCCATGAAGCAGACTTTTTCTTGAACTTTTTTTAAATAACCATTTTAGTAACTAAAGTCTTTTTTAGTATACTTTTGTAATATTGCTTAATTAAAATAATTGATTTAATAATAAAATTACCTTACACATTTAAATACAAAGATAATTTGTCTTAGCAATCAAAAGTGTTACCTATTGAGAAAAGTATAAAAATTCTACAGAAATAACTAAAGCACGAGCGACAAACAAATAGAAAACCTTTTTTCTTTGAATGAATGATTGAACTCGATAGTTTTAAAATTGTTTTTTAATTGTTAGGTAACTCAAATTTCATTAAATAAAATTTTACTTTTATTAAAATTTTGTTATAATGGATTTTATATTTATCATATATATATATCATATTTATTATTTATCATATATATATCATATTTATTATTTTCATGTTTTATTATTATGTAAGTAATAAGCTAGGTTTAATTAGAGTAGATAATAACTTTTATGGAAAATTTCTAATTAATTATAGGAAACGTAAAACATGGGGTGGTAAAGCTTAATGGTTTGAATGGCTTTGTCAGGATTTTCTTGATTGAGACCACTCTATCGCATTGAAGATATAAGGGACAAATACATAAATACTTTAATATTGGATAATAATATGGTATTTTTGCAGATAAAAATATGCCTCTACAGTAGACATTCTAACAGGGAAATAATATACCAATCACACATCAAAATTAGTCACTGTAATTTAATGGTCTCTTTAATTTCCTGACCTTGTCCTAATGAGAATATATGGAAACAACTTGATGATAAAGTACGTTTGCATGCTGGGTTAAGAAATTCTGAACGCAAACCTTGACGAACAAGGCCGCTGCGTGGAGAAACAAGTTAAGCGCGGTACTACAATGGACGTGGGGGGGGGATCAACTTGGAACCTCTTGCTTATGAGGCGAGCTCTCTACCATCTCTACTTATACCCTCTACCTCTTGGTCATCACAAATGCTTTTTTTTGTTTATTTCAGGGAGTTTTTTGGGGCGAAAGCAACAATCATTGACCAAAAAAAATTTATTTAAGAAAATTTCCATTTTTGTTATATTGCTAGTTACTTTATGTAAAAAGTTATTTTCTATTGTTTTTATTTAAAAATCAGGAAGAGTGGATACCCTTTTAATAAAACTAAGCATGAAATAGTTTAAATATATTAAACATTACTAACCTTTAGGTCTGTTTAACTGTTCCGTAATAATAGGCTGAGGAAACACAAGTTTTTTTATAAGTCTAATCCATTCTCTAATATTTTCTTTATCAGGAGCTAATAGTATAAAAAAATCTTTGAATATTAGTTTGAAGCAAACTCTATGACTGCGTGAATACACTAACTCGTCAATCGTTTTCAACCATGTTAAATCTAAAACTTTTTTATTATGTTTATGTAAGCAACTATCTTCAGACCTGTAATATTCCAATCGAACATTTCCTCGAGAAGATTTCCGACGTAATAAAAACCATTTTTGTTTCCAGGCCTAAATACAAAAAATCATTTCAATAAGATATATATTTTAATCTAATAACCCATATTTAAAATTCATTGTTTAATTAACAAAAATTTCATTTAAAATTTCAAAATCAAATCATCATAAGTAAAAAACTCTAAAACCATAGAACGGACTGAACGGACAACGCCCTTCCCCCCTCCCCCCTTTTATAGAAGACCTCTTCGGGGCGGCCATGCATAGAACTAGGATATTTTTTATTGTTAAATAAATAATAGCAGTTTAGTGTCAAAATTTAATATTATAGGTCTGTGTGTAAAAATTTAATATTATAGGCATGTGTGTAAAAATTTAAAATTTACAAATGGAATAGTTAAGGATTTTAATTATTTATTTTTTTGCGTAAAAAGGTTTTTAATTTTTTTTTTTTATTATTTATGTTGTCGAGAATATTGAGTTGTATTTAAGTATATTGAAATCAAATATTTATTTTTTTTAAGTTTATTTGTGAAACTTTATTTGATTAAAAAAAAATTTATTCCATTCTACACTGACAATCGGGAGAATGAAATACGCAAATATACGTGTAATTAAAATTGAGTGGGTCAGAAGCCAAGGGGTACAAGTGACAGTTTTACCAAAATTAAGTAAAGTATAGAATTTGATAGAAGAAGCAAACAAAATTATTGGTGGCCAAGGGATACAAGTGAATCTCTGCCCTGTGCTGCTTTCTACTGGAAAAACATAACAACAGCTGAGTTTATTTAACAAAAATACTTTAACTTTAAACAGCTGTATTTCAAAACTATGAAAATGTCACTTGTACCCCTTGGCTTCTGACCCACTCAATTTATCAAAAAAAAAAGCAATCAATAATAGCAATTAAAAAATCAATCAAATAAAATAAACTTTTTTATTCTTGTGATGATGTTGAGTCCTTTATTAGGTAGGGTAGAGCGGGGCTAGTTGAGCAGTAAAAACATCTAAAAAACTTCGCATCACATGACAAAACGAAAGTTAGTGAATTAAAATGTTAACACAATGCGCAACATAAGATTGTTGAAAAGCTATTGAGTAAGATACACGGCCACTTTTTTTATTTCAGACCAAAAAAGTAAAAAAAAAAAAATTAAAACTTTTTGCTAGTTTTTTCTTGTATGCTTATAAACTCTTTTTATTTATCACTTAAGTGTTAATAACTTAACAATTTATCGGACTTTTGATCATAATTAACTGTTTTTTCTTGAGTTTTACTGTTCTTTTTAAAACCTAACTAATGCGTCACCTTGTCTAGTAGGGTAAGTTGAGCAGCTTTGAAAAAATAAATAAAACTGCATATCGAACACAAATAAACAACTTTGATGAGAAATAATAGAGTCGTACATTATTTATCTATATTTTTAAAATTAGTAATTTTTAATACGGGCTTCAAAGTTCAAAATACTTGTATAAAATTATACTTGTATATTTTATGACACTTTCTTACTATTTAATTTTTTCTCTTTTTTTACTTTTGTCATTAAAGTGTATAAAAAAGTTTATGTTTTTCACCAACAGTTGTGCATGTAAACTATACACACGCTTACTGTTAGTGAAGGTTTTATTGATGATTCACCCATGTTTCGTACCATACATATTCATTTATTTGGTGGTTTTTCAACTCACCACACACTATTGCTTAACTTACCCCGCTGGGGCAGGTTGAGCAGCTCCACAAACTTTAGACAATATCTTCTCAAAAAAATTAAAAAATATACTTTTTTCTCAACAAACTTTAGCAGTTTAAATTATCTTTCAAGTATTGAAAAAATTATGTAAATCCGAGACACCGTTCATGAGATATGTTAGATTTAATAAAAATTGCCCAACTAGCCCCGCTCTACCCTACTAGAGGTTGAGTAAAATACCGCTCTACCCTACTAGAGTTGAGTTTTCAGTTATGCGGCACTGCAATAAAACTCAGTGCCTTTTACGTATCGCTTCGGTATGCATGTTTGACATAGCCAAATCTTGCAGTTTGAATTTTTACACTGGTTCCATTCCATATTTTGACTTGTTAAAGATTCGCCTAAAACTTTTGGGCACTTTTTAGAATTTTTAGACTGGTTTGCACCTGATATTTTTGTTGGACTTGTTGCTTTGATTATTTTGCCATTAGACCAGTGGCGGATTTAGACTTCTTGGGCCCGGGGCTATTTTTGTTTTTTGAGGCCTTTTTATGGGCTTTTAACTTTTTTGGGGGCCCCTAAATTTGCGGGGCCCGGGGCTATAGTCCCCCTAGCCCCCCTTGATCTAGACTTAAGCTTGCGTTGTTTTTTAGCTTGCTTTGATGCTTTTTTTACTCTCAGCATCTTTCAACCTTTTAAAGGGACTACCAAGTCCCGAGACATGTTGTGTTAATATTAAAGAGAATGTTAAAAAAAAACGTCTGAGCAAATTTTTTTTGATTAAAACTTATTAATAAATGTATACCAAGAAAAACAAATCTTGTTGTTTTAGTCGAAGCTCGTCTTCCCGTTTTCTCTGGTATTTTGAGTATGTAAAATAAACGCGATTTTCCAGGCGCATTATACAGACTTGATAATTCATTCAAGCGCATTTAATTCATAGGAGTTTTAGTGCATGACGTCATAGATTTTTTTTTGTTTGTTTAAAACACCGATTGTTATTTTTTACATACAATTTCCAAAGCATATTCATTTTTATTATATTTTAAAGTTCTAAAATGTTTTTGTAAAACAAAATTAAAAAAAAAATAAAATTAAAAACAAAATAAAATTAAAAACAAAAATAAAATAAAAAAACAAAAAAGTATTTTATTTGCGCAACTTTTTTTAAATAACCGTCTAGACCACGCGTATTTTGATTTCTTTTGTAATAAGTTTTTCTTTCAAAATATTAGATAAAATAATTTTTAACCTAAATAATAATGCATTTTTATTAATTTACTTTGTAAATATTAAAAAAAAAAAATATTAACGCATTTTTTCTCTGACTTTCAAAAATATATTTTTTGGTATTGAGGTGATCTTATTTCATTATTTATATTTCCATTATAACATCCAATATTTATTATGGCGGGGGCTTAAAAATAAAAAAATTAATATATATTAATTTTTATTTTACAGACATACATGGAAACATAATTAACTTGAATGTTCTTAAAACTTCTTGCGGAAGAATAAAAAGAATATTCGCGAACACTAAAAACCGCCAAATTTGCGAACAAACTAATTCTATTGGTGCTGACTAAGCGAAATAAAGTTCTAGAGTATTCTGTTGAAATGTTTTAATTTACGATTTGTTGCGTTTTGAGATATCTAGCATAAGAATATATTATCAAATGAACTACTACTTTAATATTAGGGCTCATTCTCGGAGCCACATCTGTAAAGCCGTAAAACTTTTAAACTATTATCATTTGTTTACAAAAATAAATGTTTTATAATATATATTTTTTAAATTGTCAAAACTTTGAAAGTTAATTACAAATTATATATTTTATTAGTATATTCTTAATTTTTATATCTTTTCTTAGTGCTTGGTTTAATTAATTGTTCGTTAGATTTGTAAAAAACTAACGAACAATTAATAAAATAAACTTTTAATAAAATAAGTAACTATAGTTACCTATTTGAGTAAAATTTAATAGTAAAATTTTTAAAGAATTTCTAGAATGTTTTCAATGACGTCATGCTCTAAAACTCCTATGAATTAAACGCGCTTGAATAAATTATCAAGTCTGTATAATGCGCCTGGAAAATCGCGTTTATTTTACATACTCAAAATACCAGAGAAAACGGGAAGACGAGCTTCGACTAAAACAACAAGATTTGTTTTTCTTGGTATACATTTATTAATTAGTTTTAATCAAAAAAAATGTGCTCAGACGTTTTTTTTAACATTCTCTTTAATATGAACACAACATGTCTCGGGACTTGGTAGTTCCTTTAAGTATTTTAGGTTTGTTAAGACACTGCCCTTTGAATCTTGGCACATTTTTTTTTTTTGTGCCAATGTGTTTGATAAGAAACATTTGTTGCAAAGCTGTTGTAAGTGATCGGGCTGATTGCAGTTGTTTTCCAACCTCTTTTTAAATCTCCTTAGATTTTTACCTTAAAATTCATTAAAATCATTTAGTAAAAGCAGTCAGTAAAAGCTATTTATTTAAATTCAGGAAAATTTCATTGAAAAAATATTTTCAATAAATTTTATAGTTGGAGATTTATTGGTCACTTGAGATTTAATAAAAAAAAAAAAAGCAGCATTTAAGTAGTGAGCTATTACTTCACTTATTTTAAGCTTATTTCATTCAACCCCACAATTCTCCTTTTCCGTTTTTGTCTCTTCCTAAATAGCAAATTTAATTTTGAAAAAAGATTCTTAATCAGCGTAAAAAGTTATACCAGCAAACTTTTTAAGTTTAATGATATCAAATTTAACTTCCGAGAGTTTTAAGTTCATTTTCCGAAATAATAAAAAAATTCTTATTACGAATACGAAAACTTAAATATTTATACCATTATACCATTTGTTATCATCAAAATAAAATTTGATATCATCTTATTCAGAAAGGTATTCTCTACAACGTGATTTAAAAATACTTGCAAAAAGATTATCCAATAATTAATTAAGAGCAAAAGAATAAATATTGTCATAACTATTTCATTCTACCTGCTAAATCATTTTACCCTGTTTTACTCTATGTATTATTGGAAACTGCATTAACATAATTTAGAAAAGTGAAAATCTTATATCGATCGGATCATTTTTAAAAACTTATGTGCATTTAATGATTACAAGGAGTCTTTAAGAAAACTGTGATTAATTTCGAAATTATCTGTCACTTCAAAATGAAACGACATTTCGGTATCAGTATTAATTGATTATATTTACATAATAACCAATAGCATTTGAAAGTAAGGGGCACGTGATTTGGCTTTTAAATAAAATCAAAAATAATGGTGAAAACAGCCGATGATAATTATACCTATTTTGCGAGGGAAAACGGAAGGTCTGCAACATAATATTTTTAATTGAAATTTGGCAGGTATTTAGAATTACATATAAAAATTGATAAAAACAAGTTTGATAAAAAAGTATTTATAGCTTCAGTATAAGCGCGATGTATAAAAAACTCAAAAAAAAATTAAAAAAACTGAACAAAAAAATCACGCTATAATAAAGTTAAACCCTTCTACTTAAAATATATTTATGTTGATAAAAAATTTTTTAAAAATAAGACTTCATAACTAGACGAACACTTAGCAAAGTTTAAAAAGTGGTACGAAGAAATCGACTCTGTAAATATATATATATATATATATATATATATATATATATATATATATATATATATATATATATATATATATATATATATATATATATATATATATATATATATATATATATATATATATATTTATATACGCACACACAAAAAATTACTTACTTGCGTACCAAATTTTCTATGCTTTCTCGGCAGTTTCACTTCTAAATAGCCACATTTAACAAGATCATCGTAGTTATCAATTGATGTCATGCTTTCATTTCGTAAAATTATTTCATTTCATAAAATTAAGTCAAATCATAAATAGAAAAAACATCGCTATCAAAAATAGAGCAATTCTAATTAAATATGTAAATTTTTTCACTATTTTAATATATAAGCAAAACCTATTTAAAGAAATATCCTTTAAAGCTATATAATAATTTAAAAAAAAAACGTATGTGGGAATGTAAATCTGAATTCCTTAAGCTGTTTTTTCTCCGCAGATATTATAATGATGCACTCATAAATAGAGTAAAAATGATTCAAAATTTATATTTCAGTTGAAATTTACTTTGCTGTTTAAGTTATTATAGTGGAGTAATAAAGTAACCAAATAAGATTGAAGGTATTGTAATAATTTAAAATAACAAATCCAACATTTTGTTTTAAAATTTAATAAAAACAACGTTTAATACTACTTCTCTGTGAAGGAGAGAAAGTTAAAAAAATTGACAGACAAATAAAGTAATTAAAAAGTTATTAAAGTGTTTTTTTTTACCGTACTTCTAAGATCGTAACAAAATGAATTAAATTTGACTTAAACAGTTGCTATATTTAGATTATTTTTTAAGTGTTTTGATTGAATTATTTTGTAAAGTATTTTAACTTAAAGTTTAAGTTGCGCATTGGCCCGTACCAACGAGGGTGAAACACCCTAGTTTTGCTATATTCTTTCGGGAGGGATAAAAGAATTATAGCACATTAAATTTGTAATAGTATTACGAAAAAAATAAAAAATTATTGAGGTCTAATTTAGTTTCAAATGAATAAGTTTTAACAGAGGTCGTTTGAATTTTTTAATATATATATATATATATATATATATATATATATATATATATATATATATATATATATATATATATATATATATATATATATATATTTATATATATATATATATATATGTATATATATATATATATATATATATATATATATATATATATATATATATATATATATATATATATATATATATATATATATATATATATATATATATATATATATATATTCCAGTGGGAATAAATATAAAAAATATAAATTTTATTCTTGTAAAACTAAAATTAAATAAGTAATCATATATTTTGCTTTCTTTTAAAAAAACAATTAAGTAATTAAATTAAAATCTAAATTAAATTAAATCTCCTAGCAACAAAGGCATTATTTTCAATACAAAACACCCGAATAAGTAATACATAAGCAGCAGTGGTGTATTTGTTAGGTTTCTGGATTCAGAACTGTAGGTCCGTTGTTCAAAACCAGCTCTGGCCATATATATGCATTATTGGTAAGGAAGGAGATACGAACTTCCTAGTTTAATGCTATTCTGCGGTGCTCGAAGAGGTCCTAACGGTCTGTAATAAGACCATTAGGACTTCTTCACGTACCTCAATAACTGATTTTTTTAAATAAAAGAATTTTTTTTTAAAGTATAAAATGAAATATCTTAATTTTAATAGATGTTTTTTTTTTATTATTATTTTTTTATTTACTAAGCAATCAGTTTTTAACTAAATACGCGTTATAATAAAACCACTTGGGATTACATTATGAATGAATATTAAAATAAGATAAAATTAGTAAATGTTTGACTCAAGGAAATAGTCGTAATTTTGCTTTTTTTTTTTTTTAGTTTATTCAATCTTTAATTTTCTTTATTTCTATTATTTATAAGTTTATTAGGGTAAAACAAGCTATATCTTATTGTAGTCTATTTGCATGTTAGGAAAAAAAAATTAATGTTAAGTTTTTTTATAAAACTTAATTTATTTTAAAAAATTAATAAAAGATAATAATTTATGGTTTAAGTATTTTGAAAGCTAATCTAAAGTTTAAAATTACTTAAATATAAACAAATTTTTAATTGTCATTAAAAAAAAAATTAATAATGAAAAAAAAAAAGAAAACCGTCCCAATTGATAAAATTTTAAAGTTCTTTTTTTTATTTAAAAATTTGCCTGCTAAACCTAAAAGCTTTCTATATATTTTCACACTCCATAGCACATATTCCTAGATAGTCAGTTTTACATTTACACAACACTATCATGAATTAATTTGCTTTGCGCTATCACTAAATAGTCAGTCGACGAATGTACACTAGATTGCTAGATTACTTTTAAATTTAAGAATCAATTAAAAAAGTATTAGTAATTTCAATTTTTATTATACTGCATGTTTTTCCTCCTTTTTTTTTATTTTTATTTTTAAAGTGTGATTTTTTTTCAAGTGCAAGAAAATAATTAATCACACTTTTTTTACGCGCGAATAGACTAATTAGAATAGACACATTTTTTACGCGCGAATAGACTAAATAGAAAAACGTGCGAATAGACACGTTTTTTACGTCCGACACGTTTTAGACACGTGTTTTACGTGAATAGACACGTTTTTTACGTGCAATACCCAATGCAATTAAGAACAAACAAACTCGTGAAAAAAAAACTGACAATTTAAAACAAATCCGATTGGTTGTTAGTGGCAAACCGAAAAACTTTATATTTATTTAATTTATGCAAACAAAGAATTCGGATAGTTCTGTTTTTTAATTGTTTACGGCTTCTGAATGGAATAATTTATTATTTCAAGATGGCCGAATAAATTCCGAGTATTTCAAAAAATGATACTAAGTACCGAAAACAGTTTTTTAAATGGGGTTAAAAGTTATCATAATGTTTGCAAAAACGACTTTGATAGAAAAATTAACACTACTATAGGTTATCTAAATCTAACGTGACATTGTTGAACATACTCATTTAGGTGTGGTATTGAAAATAGTAACTTCAATTTTCATTAAAAAAATGGCTTTTCATGGATAATTTTCCCAAATAATGTCTGAATAGAAATGTCAAGTTACATTCATTGAAAACAAACACCAATGCGTGCTTTTATGAAAAAATCAAATTTATAGATTTGTTATAGTTGCATTACTTTTACCAGATTATAATAGTAGTTAAGATAATCTTCCCATAAAGGTTGGCTATGTTGCTTTCAAATCCACGGACAGATTTAACATTAAATTGGCTCCTTACAGCTGAGTGGTACGGACACGCGTCAATGTGCACAGTTCAATTTTACTGATTTGACGGTGGCAGCGGATGAACAAATAGGACATGTTGCAAATACCAACTGTGACAAGCAGTTCATGCTCTATTTAAGCCAATTGCTTGAACGAGTAAACCCATACGCCAAAACTTTTCGCATGATGAAAAATATAGCCGAAATTGAAGAAAAACGAGCGCATGAGAAGGGATATGCAGCGTTGCAGGTTCAGTTAGTTTTTGACATCGGTCCCACCTTGGATTGATGACGGTACAACACGCCGATCACGGACGAAGTAGCAGCGATATTTGTGGTGGGAAATGATGAACTACCACCTATGCGCAGCTTTGCAATTTACTATGAAAGTGGTCAAAAACAATTAATTGATGATATTAATTCCCGTTGCAATCCACTCACCTATACGCTTCTCTCGCATACGTTGTATTGGAACAAAATCGCCTAAATTACGATTGGCTACATCAAACCGAAATGTGAGTCAAACATTATCGCGTGTTAGCAGATCAATTAGTAGATCATTTAGTAGAAGGGACACAGGTTGATATATTGACACAAAATATGGACGAGACGATAATCGATGGGTGGTACTATACAACATAGTATTTATACTAGCAAAGTACAACTGTTACATCAACGTCGAAACTTTACCATCACATCGATAAAGTACATAAACAAGCATTTTTAAGGGACCTAACAAAGCAGAAATAAATATTCAAAAAAAGCAACAGCGCCAGCGACAACTTGTATATGACGAAATTTTGGCCCATTCGGATGCATGATATATTCGTCTGTCAGAAGCTACGTGGCGAATATTCGGCTTTGAAATGAAAATGCAATCACATACTATTTTTTTTTTTTTTTTTTTTTTTTTTTTAAATTCTTTATTACAATCATTACTACAATTTCTATTATTAACTTTAACTTTCTATTATTATTATTAACTTGTGAATAAAACGTAAGACATAAAAAAAAGAAATAAATAATATTTACAATAAAGATTTCGTTAACAATAGAAATATGACAATAAATATAACAATAAAAATTAGGAATAAAGAATGCGGAAGCTCGAAGAAGTCCTTGAGGTCTTGTCGTAGAGAACCACTGGAATCAAAACGCTTTAAATGAATTCATTTTTATTGATTTTTTGTAAATGTTTATTAGCTTTTGGATTGGATCTGTTCCGATAAATAATTATATAAACCGTTGCATAGAATAGTTAAAAATAATATACTTCAGTATAATTATCGATGTGTTTGATAGTGTGTTGGTGATGTTAATATAAATCGAATAGCTTAAAAAAAATAATAATTGAATTGAACATTTCTTGCATTAAAATTGTAGAAAATAAAATCAGAGTGGGGTTCTTGAATTCTTGTTGATAATTAGCTCTTGTTCTAATATAGTTTTTTTTTTTAAGTATATATTGTGTTTGCATCTTTATCATACAAGCGATTTATCGCCTAGCCGTACATCAACCAGAATTTCAAACTCCTTTCAATCAGGTAACGAAGCCAGTGCAATTAAAAAAGTTAACGCAAGACTCAACTTTAATGGCATGGTTCCAATTAAACAAGTGCTCCAATAACTGTTTCGAAGAATAAGAAGCCCAACAAAGCACCACCATCGATTCGCAACAGTTTTTGTATTCGAAATACCAGAGCATTTTATTTTTAATAAAATATCGGCGAAGCGGACACCACGAAAACTAGACAGAAAAGATATCGGACGTATGTATATGGTAAAAAAAAAAAAATCGGACGTATGTATATGGTAAAAAAAAAAATGTATATGGTTAGTCCTAGACAAGAAGAGCGCTACTATCTGCGGGTAAAGCTACTATACACTCGCGGAGCTACATTATTCAAGGATTTAAAACCGTCAATGGAATAACCTATCAAACATTTAAAGATGCAGCTGTATCTTTCCTTCAAATGCTATCAGAAATGCGACCGTTATTCGCTTACATAATTTGTTTTGTCTTAACAAATGACAACCCAGCGCTTTGGGAACAATTCAAGAGTGCCACGTTGGACAATTACAGACACCAAACAATGTCAAAACAAGAAAGCGAAGCATACGCA